GGACTAACTGGTGGGGGCGGTCAGAGCTGGTTACTTTGATATCAACAATGTACCCCGCGGCCTTGAGGCAGTGCCAATGCTGATAGGACCGGCTTTATACGCTCACTATATTTCTCCTCGGGTAAATGAGCACTCGACGGCTCGGGATCGGGAAAGGGGAACTTTCGTGACACCCATTTTTCTTCCTTGCTTGACTTGCAGTCGTCCTGACGAATACATTTCTGTATGTTCTGTTATCCAACCCTGCAGGAGAAGATGATATGCGTGCTTACCAGACTACTCCAACTAGATAGTTACTGGGATGTAGTTTTGGGGGTTCAGGAAGTTGTTACTTGTTTGTGCAAGGTTGGCACTTGACAGGGTAGTCGACACCAAGTGGGGCCAGACTAGTCTACTAAAGGATTAGTTGAAACTTGCAGTCAGCAACCCGAGGCAAGCCACTCCTTTTGCCCAGACCGTCGACGCCACCGCTTTCTACACCGGTTAAGGAAAAGTAAAAAGAACCCGCCGCCCCACTCCATCACTAAAACGCAGCCACTGAGAGCTTGGACACCATCGCTTTTGGCTGGTGCGTTATACTTACAGTATCTTACCTACAGGACCTGGGTAAGGAGACATATTTCAGTTTAATCCAGAGTGTGGACATACTCCGAGTATAGATGCAGCTATCTAACTTGGTCGGGTTGAATTTTCTCTTCCAAGTTAGGATGGAATAGTCTCAGGGTAAGTAGTACGCTCCCGAAACACACTTCTTGTATGCTTATCTCTTGAGACGAAGAGGGAGGCTCCTTGGCCATGGTACGATGTATGATACTTGTAGGTAATAATACGAGATTAAACCACAGTAGGTAATGACCCATCAGCCCCATAGTAGATGCATGTACCTAAGGGAGATAGCCTCCCGTTTGTCTGTTACAACCTACCAGAGCACTGCTTTGCGAAACACTCAATCAAAATGCATCCTGCTCATTATTATGGTTGCATTTCCTTTCTTCTCATTGGGCTGTTGGATGCGGGTCCATCGGTTTTATCCCCTTGAGGCTTTGTTTCCCGGACTGTCCTGGATTGTCCGATTTACCAGCAGACATCCTCTTGGCTCTGGTTGCCTCCATTGGAGTCCCTGTATATAGATGCGGTTGCCCACCAATTCCAGACGACGTTGTTTTCTCTCTCTCTCCAACTTCTGCAGTCTTCTTCCCTGCTTTCGCCCTCCCCTCATTCCTCTACCTTGTCAGGAGCAATCAAGGTGATAGCTGATTCTTTGCAGCTTCTCTCGGTTGACTCTTACCCAGCTCACTTATCGACCCGACATTTCCTTACGACTGTGGTTGTGTTACATTCACAAGCTGTTAAATCCCACTCTGTTGGACGGTCTTCTCTAAGATTGTCGAGTCTCAGTTCTACTCTTGGTTTATATATCACTCCTCACACCCTACTGTCAATTCTTACGCCTGTGACGAACAGCATATTGGCCTTTCAGCTGTACGGCGTAGGAGCAGCAGCGACAGCAGCAACAACAGCAACAACCCCCGAAATCTCGCCCATACGCCCTCAGCGCCGTTTTCGGTCGAGAATCACGTATCATTGTCCCTTGCAACAGGCCTCTGAGGATTTACTGCCGAAGTAGAGCCCGTGGACGAATATCCTCGTGTTCGACAGCCATTGCGACTCTTCCTGGCCCTGAGCGACAAACCGCTGATTCCACCCTTATTGACCTTGCCCGTCTACCCAACAGAATCGTGATCGGCCGCTTTTCCCAATTGCGCCAATAACGAAAGTCAAAGAGACAGTAGATCTAGGTCTGAGTGACGGAAATTCGACCTCAAACCGGACCATTCCCTGCACACGCCAATTCCAATCGTCCCATAGTAGCATCGCCAGACCCATCCGCCATCATGCCATTTTTCAACCCGTTCCGGAAACACGATCAAACAACCTTCCATGGTGTCGTCATTCCTCTTAGCAGTGCCCCATCGCATGCGCGCCCAGAAAGCCCAGTCCTGGAAACGAAGGGAAATGCAAATGTGAAACCTGATGATTCTAGCTTGGACAAGGCTCCTTCGCAGGAGAACGGCTCTGCCGCTTCCATCCCCGAGCGCAGCCATCTGACTATTGAATCTCTCCGCGCTGAGATCGAGTCTGATGTTGCTGCTTCGGGGCATGATTCCGCTTATGACCGTATGTTCTTGTTCGCGACTATTGAGACTTGGATGCCTTCTGTTTTTCCAGTTTCTCGGCCCGTATCTTCAGACCGAGTCCACTTTTTCTGGTCCAGGAATGTTCGATCTAATGTTGGCGTGTTCTAGGCAAATCAAAGGTCATTAACCGAGCAATCCAGGATATCGGCATGGGTCGGTATCAATGGGAATTGTTCTGTCTTTGTGGGTTCGGTTGGTTGGCAGACAAGTAAGTTAGATGCTCTCTCTTCTTGGTTTGACCGTTCGTCGCTAATTGGTCTCGCAGCCTTTGGCTACAGGTAAGAACATTATCAACGCGGTGTATAAAAACCCAGACACTAATCAGATCAGGGAGTTGCCCTTACATTAACACCGGTCGCCTCTGAATTCGGCATTTCTTCCACTCAGGTTCGTTTCACGACCTGCGCCTTGTTCGTAGGGCTTTGCCTGGGTGCATCCTTCTGGGGTATCGCATCAGATATCATTGGACGTCGACCGGCCTTCAACCTGACCCTCTTTATTTGTGGTGCTTTTGGTTTGGCCGCCGGTGGTAGTCCCACATGGATTGGGTATGTTCATTCGATTACTTTCTGTCCGCAGTCGGAGTCGGGAGCTTGCGGCTAATATACCTCGAATCTAGGGTCTGTGCTTTGTTCGCCTGCCTGGGCCTCGGTGTCGGCGGTAATCTGCCTGTTGATGGAGCTCTTTTCTTGGAATTCCTGCCTTTTGCTTCCGGAAATCTCTTGACCATGCTGAGTGTATGGTGGCCTGTTGGTCAGCTTATCGCTAGGTTGGTGCTGCCCAAACACGTCGAGCTATATGTGTATTCAAATCATCTAACAACCCGCTAGTCTTATTGCCTGGGGCTTCATTCCCACTTATAGCTGCGCGGATGACCTGCCCTCCTGCAACGCAGTCGGTGACGGAGTCGCCTGCTGCGGAAAGGACAACAATATGGGCTGGAGATACTTCGTGCTCACTATGGGCTCCTTGACTTTTGTCATGTTCATCTGCCGCTTCTTCCTGTTCCATCTCTATGAGTCCCCCAAGTTCTTGCTCGCCCGTGGTCGCCAGGATGAAGCCGTTGCTGCAGTCCACGGGATTGCCTACAAGAACAAGGCCCAGACCTGGCTCACCGTGGACATTCTCAATGAGATTGGCGGTTACCCCGACGAGCACGTCCCCCAATCGCTCAGCAACAAGGAAATCCTCGAGAGATACCTGTCCAAGTTCTCTCTGCAGCGCGTCCGCCCTCTGTTCGCGACCAAGAAACTCGGCTTCACCAGTATGACACACCCGTTGCTCTCCCGAGTTTACATAGACCCATGGCTAACATGTCTCTCCAACAGCGGTCATCCTCTGGTTCTGCTGGACCACCATCGGAATGGGCTACCCCCTCTTCAACGCCTTCCTGCCCCAGTACATCAAGAATGCCGGCGGCTCCACCGAGGCCTCCACCTACATCACCTACCGCAACTACGCCATCACCTCCATCGTCGGCGTGCCAGGCTCCATCCTGGCCTGCTACACCGTCGACATCAAGTACATCGGCCGCAAAGGCACAATGGTCATCTCGACCCTCATCACCGGCGTCCTCCTCTTCTGCTTCACCGCCTCCACCAACTCCAACGTCCAGCTCGTCTGCAGCTGCCTCGAGGCCTTCTTCCAGAACATCATGTACGGCGTCCTCTACGCCTACACCCCCGAGGTCTTCCCCGCCCCCAGCCGCGGCACGGGAACGGGTATCTCGAGCTGTCTGAACCGCATTGCTGGACTGTGTGCGCCCCTCGTCGCCATCTACGGCGGGGGCTCGAACCCCAATTCCCCCATCTACGCCGCTGGTGGACTCATCCTTGCGTCCTTTGTCGCCATGTGCTGTCTTCCTATCGAGACGATGGGGAAGCAATCGCTGTAACCCTAGCGGTTTCTTTCTCTCTCTCTCTCTCTCTTCTCCCCCTGTGGAGTGTGATATGATACCCTAACCAGAACATGGGTTTGAAAATCTTGGATATGAAAATCCGACATATTCGAAGCATGAAAACCGGAAAAAGGAAAAAAAAAAAAAAAGCCTACATCCGCTCTGGCTTCTCCAGGTGGTGTACGCAATACTTCCATGATGATGATATGCTTGATGAGGTGGGCTTGGATATGTATACCCTACTGTTTTGTTTATTTCGACGAGCTTCCTTCTCCGTTGGTGAAAGTGCCTCGTCTCTCTGCATTTAGCGGATGCGTGTTCAATGTATGTATCACCAAGTGATAAATATGAAATAAAAATGTGGATATATTCATGACTTGTGTTGCCGTCAGATGAATGTTGTAACCAGCATTATTTCGTTCGGGTATATCTCTATGTCTTTACATTCTACTTCTGTACACTTGGGTGGAACGGGCAGCTACAAAGCAATCAGGTAAGCACGCAAGCCCATATCCATCGGGTCAAGATGGGTAGGGGAAGTGATCGCAATAAACCGGGGTCAACCCAGTTAGCCATGAGATATTTGTTATCATAATCCCATGATTCTCCTATGCATGAAAGAAATAAAAAAAAAAAGCAAAAGAACAGCCAGCCAGCGGACGGTACATGTATGCTCCGGTCCAACGCAAACAGAACAAACAGAGGTGACTATCATAAATCCATAACAGATGCAAAGTCATGACCCGGGCGCAAACCGTAAGCCAGAGCGATATGTAAACTATGTGGAACCAATTACTCCCATCGTAACGTACATGTCGGACACATCGTAACGGTGAGAAGGTATTAGACGGGATTCAATTGAAGAGGAAAAGGGAGAGAAGAAACAAAAGCAAACGGAAGACGGCTTAGACGACAGGTTGACCCTGTTGCCGTCTGCCTCTCTTTTCTAACAAAGTCGCATTGCTGAGGCTTAGCTCGAAGGGTTGCCGCGAGTGCCGGTTGATACTCTGCTTTGCGGCTGCCGCGACGTTCGCACTATGGGTGCCATAGCCCTGCTGTCGAGACTGAGGCGCCTGTCTAGCTTGAGCAGCGTGACTGGGGGCTCCCAAGTTCGTTGACCGTAATTTGGCTTCCATAGCTGCAACATCTCCCGCGTGCTGAGAGGCTTTGGGGATCTTCGCCGGAGGGTAGGCGTCGTTCTGGACGCGTTGTAATGTGATGTCATCCTCTTCGTCGTCGTAGCCCTCGTTCAGGGGGTTAAGAGCCGACTGGAACCCGGTGGTCGGATTGGCACCCCGATATCCTTGTCGGAAATTCTTGCGCCGTTTACCTTCCTCTTCTTGCCGATGTACCGCGTAGCCGACATCGAACACCTCACGCAGGTTGATCGCGCCAGGGGACCGGAAATCCAGGGGGCGATCTAAACCGGCGGAAGCTGGACCCAGTAACCGGGCACTTACAGGTGCGTAGGGTGCCTGATCGGCTGCTTGAGCATCCAGGGGCTGTTGCTTGGTTTGACGACTAGCGAGTGGTGTGGCAAGAGGGGGCGCATCATCAGCTGCTTCGGTCGCTTCATCGGTCTGACGGATCCACGGATGAGCAAGGAACTCTTTGATACTATACCGCTTCTCGGGGTCGACGGTCAGAAGATGCGAGATGAGATCCTGAGCCGATTTGGAGATGTCATCCCACCATGGCGACAAGAAGGTGTACTGGCCCCGCGCAACCTTCTCGGTGAGAACCTGGATGCTTTCGTCGTAGAACGGAGGAAAACCACATAGGAGAGTGTAGAGCACACAGCCAAGGGCCCACATGTCGACGCTCTTCGAATACCGTTCGTCCTTGACGATCTCGGGCGCCGTGTAGCCGACGGTGCCACAAGGGGTCATAGTCTGGCTATCCCAGATGACTTTGGACAAACCAAAGTCGGCAATTTTGATCGTGCCTATCCCACCCGATCCAACGCCGGGAATGAATTCGCCTTCATCCACCTTCTCCTCATCTCCAGGCTGGACAGGCCTTGGGTTCTTACTCGGCACGAAGGGTATGGGGTAGAACAAGAGGTTTTCTGGCTTGATATCACTAGGAGAACAACATGATCAGTTACTAGTTGTCACCAGAAAAAGGTCACAGTTTATCACAGTTTGATGAAACGTACCGGTGAACAACACCTGAAGTCTCATGGAGATACTCGATGGCTTTGGCGACCTGGACGATAACGTGACGGCTGAGGTCTTCACTGAAATAGGTCAAGCGCACAATCTGATGGAACAGCTCGCCCCCTGGACACAGTTCCAGAACGATATAATAGTACTGGCGCGACTCGGAGAATTCGATCAGTTTGACAATATTGGGGTGATCGAGCTGTCGCATGATCTGAACCTCTTTCAAGATGTTCGCGCGCTACAACAAATATTAGCATATTCCACAAACCGATCGTTCCGAGGTTGTGAGATCAAAGGAAGGAAGGAAGGAAGGTGTAAAGGGAAGAGGGGCCATGGCAAGGAAAAGGAAAGGTGCTGTGAGTAGGATTTGAGGAAGAGATAGGAATATGATGTGTGGATTGCGCACCTCCGCGGCTTTTGGCTTCTTCCTGAAATCCGGATGAAGATGGGCGTCGTGCTAAGAGAAAAAGAGAGATTGGCGGAATGTCTTTTTGAATAGAGCGATGGACCATAGAGCAAGGCGCAAACTCAAGAAACAACGAATAACGGAAAAAGCCAAAAAGCAAACCACACGCTAGAACAAAAAGAAAAAAGTTTCAGGGCCGACTCCCTACCTGATGGCTGTTCATTTCGAATTTCCGCACAACTTTGATGGCAACCTCATCAAACTCGCCCGTGGTATCCTTTGCACGGTAAACGTTGCTAAAGGCACCGTCTCCCATCTTCTCCAGTAGGATGTATCGCTCGAGACCGGGATATTTAGGCATTTTTGACCTGCTACTCCGTTCCTCTGCGACAATCTGTTCGATCTCGGCAGTTCTGGCTTGCTTGTTTTCGGGAGTCTTTTGAGGTTGAGAGTGCGGAGATTCTGATTGTTGCTGATGAGTGTGCGCATGGCCCATTTTGCTATCGATAGCATCCAGATTTCCAGCAGCAGGAGGATATGAGCCCTGTGGTTGACGTTGTTGTTCTGCGTGAACAGGGGAAACGTCGGTGGTGGGTTCGGCGTGGGGAGTGACAAGGCGAGCCTGCTTGCCATGACGTATGAAATTTTTGAGATTCTGAATGGTGCTCATGGTGGCGGATGGGAGTTGCAAGAGTGCAACAATGAGCGAAAGGTAAGGGAAAAGAAGGGAGGAGAGGAAAAGGAAGAGGAAGAGGAGGAAGAGGTAAGGAGAAAGATGAGAGTTAGATAGGATAGGGTAAAGGTAAGGTGGGAGCCGATGACGATGATGATGATGATGATGATGCTGATAAATAGTCGCTTTTTCTCTCTTGGTATTTGGTTAGTGTTTACCCCGCCACAATGGGAATTTTTTCTTTTTTCTTTTTCTTTTTTCGTTTTGAGTCGGATTGATTCGAGGAAGTGGATCGAAGAGAAACACCACCAGGGATAGTGATTGAAGATAAAGAAGACTTGATAATCAAGAACGAAGTAGGACTCCCAAGACAAGTAAGTTGTGTTTGAGGGAAGACTTGGAAGTTCAAAATGTAAGTGGGAAAGGAGGGAAAGGGCAAAGTTTGGGATGGGGACACTAGGTAATCTTGATATGAAAGTGAATTTATCACAATCTCAATAGTAACGAAGAAGGGACTACCCGTGCTATCACTTTAGTTTCTCTCCAAATATCTGAAAAGATAGTAAGGTAGTTTTAGTTACTCTGTAGCTAACTAGTGGGTAGTTATCTATAAGAACATTATGTGACATAAAGGTGGGGTTGTTGGAGGAACTTGACAGGATCAGCTTATGAAGTCAGTGGATTCTGGGGATTCTGGGAATTGGGAATTGGGCATTTCATTTGGGGATCGGGAACTCATCGTCATCATCGTCATCATGAGTTACTCTTTGAGGTATTATATTGATTGCTCTCTCTTTACTCTGCAGCGTCAAAAAAGAGGCGTCGTATGACGTCGAGGGATCTTCGCCCCCCCGATGTCATGGCTTCACAAATACTACTACTAGAAGTAGTAGCATCGATGAGCATTACTACAGCTAGATACTTCTGGAGTAATGAGGGCTATCGCCAATAGATGTCTTCTATCCATTATCCATCGATCTATCTATCCGAAGCTTTCTCTCAGAGCCGCCATTTGTTGTTTCAACAGACCAGAAGTTTAAAGAGACATCGACCGTTCGGTTCAAGAGGCTGAAACTCTTGATACACTTCTTGCTTTAGCTTAGTTTGGACCATTCTACCCCTCTAGTAGAGAAGGAGTTGTTATAGTTATTATGGTTGTTATCAAACTTATTCACAGTGGAGTCCTGATCGTCATTAATCGTCATTGCCACAATGTCTTTTCCCTTCATACCTCTCTCTGGCAAGGTACTACAAAAGTCTGGTTCTATGAAGCACTTTCAAGAAGTGGCCTTGGGTGACAAAGGATCCCATGGATTGCATCCGGTTTCATGGCTTCGGCTACTTCACTTTTCTTTTGCCTTCGGTAATTTGCTTGTTTGCCCCGTTTGGTCCTTGTTTTGGACTGCAACTCTGCAAGGCTGCAACAAGTATTAATTAAAGTCTGGTAGTAGCAGAAAGAGGATAAAACCACACAATCCCGTCATTATGAATGAAACCATCCTTTATTGACATTGATGATATTTTTGCTCATCAAGAGGAGAAATATCCTCTTAAAACTTCAAGATCCTTTGTGGTCTAAGAGAAAGAAGTTCGCAGGTGATTGATATATTGTTGATACCCTGCTTTGTGACACAGGATAGGTTTCAGGCATCAAATTGTGGATATGCGTACTCCGTAGATCGTACCTCTCCTGGTATTATCTATCACCTTTTCAAAGCACTTCAAGTATTGGCATTATTACTGATTCACAGAATAATAAATGAAGAACAGACTTCATGAAAGAAGAAGAGTCCAGACGATGCATATTCATTGCAAGACTGAAAGGAAGACCATTGGTCCAATACTCTATAGACACTACCTTAGTATTCTTAAGTGGAATCCCCTCTTTTTCTCCTCTATCTACCTGGTATTTCTGTAGGTTTCGACAGAAACCCAAATCTTCACACTCGCGCCTAAAACCTCCAAAATTGTATATCTCAGGAGTACATTCGGTGCATCTCACTGGGCCACATTCATGGTCAAACCCACATTCCAGCTCCGCAACGTGGAATGAGTCTATCTATCTACCTTATCCTTGAGCCCGCTCTGTTGCCTTGCATCTGCATCACTCGGCATCTCTTCACGTCTCCCCTCATGTCTGTCGCCCTTGCCTGACACTTGCTGATTCCTTGTCGCGCCAAAGTAAATGCACAGTCATCGTATCTTATTTTTATCCGAATCTTATTATTCGCTGGCCCCTGATTTCTGACCTTGATTGCTTGGTGTGTTGCGTTTGGGATCATCGGCTGTTGTTGGCGACACCTGCTGGCCAACATTGCTTGGACCGTTACGCCTGCGTGTCTGATCCCTTGCAGCCTCTTCGTTTCGTGGCGCATCCGGCCATTTTTCTCTTCGCTTTCTCTGAGCATTATTGCTTTGTTCGCTTAGCGACAAAAACAAAAAAGAAAGAAAAGCAAATAAAGGGCAAACTAATCAGCCAGTTATCTCCTTCACACCTGTCTGGAACCTGGACGGTTCCACTGATACTGTCCCTTCTCTCGCGCCTCTCTTCGCTATGTGGCCTCCGTTTATCGCCTTACCTGCCACCTCCATCTGAATCATCCAGTGACATGTCCTTGGTAATCATCGCTCACAGTGAAGCTGTCGACCCACGGTGACGATATCGCTTCAGCTCGTCAGTGGCAATTTGCGGTGAATTCGAGGTTCAAGATGCCTGGCGTTGAAACCACTGGTGCCTCTGTGGATTCCCCCGAGTCGGTTCTCGCACGGCCGCTCATCAGATCTTGCAAGTCCCTGCCTCGGAGAGCAGAAGTGTCCTCGGATCCTGATCTCGCGCACTCAGCCTCTTCAAACAATGGCGGCCATACTTCCGGAGCAGTCCCGATCGCAACTGCCCCGGCTCTTCCTTTGACTCCACCCAGTGCGGGCCACGAGGAAGCATCGTCAAATGACGCGTCAGGCATGCACAAGACCGCCTCTTCGCATTCTCTCAACTATATTCATGGTGCGATGACGCCGACCAAACCGTCCCATCCCCCCACTCCGGAGACAACGCCGCCTCGCATAACTTCAACGACATATCGACCAAGTCTCAGTCAGTTTGGGCACACGTCCGCGTCCTCTAGAGCCGAGTCTTTTCAGACCGCCCGCGAGATGATTTCAGATGGCGAAACAGTGACCCCGCGTCGTTCGACCCAGTCATTGCACCATCAGAAAAAGCGCAGATCCTATAAGCAGAAATCATCTCAGGACGAGAGTCCACATGGTTCCAGTGATGCCAGTTTTGGAGATGATAGGTCTCCTCCAGTCCAGTCCGACGAGACGCTGAGGCCCACCAGAGTCGAATCGTACGATGGTTGTGACGATGAACGAGCGCCATCCTGTGATCATCGTCCAAGAATCCGCACACAGAAATCCCCCGAGAGATCTGCCATGGATGGGAACGATGAGGATCTCCCTCCACTACGTGGACGGAAGCTGCGTGACCGGCTCAAAGATGCCCAAATCAGCATGGCAAGTCCTTCCCTTGAACAATTTCGAGAGGAGATAGGGTGGCCCCCGCTGAAGAGGAATTCCGGCGATATTCCGGCGTGTCGACATCCTCGACAATCGAAGCTATGATCATTGACGCCCCGCGACCGGCCAACCGAACACTGCGACATACGGAAAAGAGGCAGTCTCTACGCTCCGCCAGCTCGCCCGTGACCAAGTCGGCACGTACATCGCTTGTTTCCAATCCGGACTCCCAGCACCGCCTTGTCCATAAAGATGCTCGGATCACAGAAAAAGTTCGCAAGAGCATTGCTTCTGAAATCTCTGTTCCAGCCAGTGCCACAGCGGCCGGTCCTCCTCGAAATATTGAGGTCGTCCCTGTAGTCGTGATTCCCGAGCGACATTCTTCTCTTCGTTCTTCTCAATCTGTCAGCAGGAATCCATCCAAGGCTAGTTCCGGGCGATCCAGTCAGCGACCTGAGTCTGCACGGAAGAGTAGACCGCCATCTCTCGACCTTACCCGTCAGAAGAAGCGGACATTTTCCGACTCAATCGCTACAGCTACTCCAGCGTCAGATCCCAGAGGTCGCAACATTGGTCGGCCGGTGATTCCTCCTCGCAGTTCGTCGTTGTCGGCGCCCACAAGTAGAGACAGCTCACGGCGCCCGTCCTTCGCCTCTGAGAGCGTTCAAAACCAGGACATTCTCAAGGATCGTGAGATGGATAAGGCCCCTATTGGACAGCCCGCACAAAAGCTCGACAATCATACCTTGAGTGCCGGTCGCTGGGACGCCACTGATGCTCCGAAGACACAATCCATCTGGATCGGCATCGAAGACATGACTCACCTACGCCCACCTTCCATTCTCTTCACGCCAGCCTCAGTCGCATCATCGTCCCCGGGGTTGATTGAAATCAAGGAGGCGAGGACCGTTACTTTCTTTCCTCACAATAATGAATCTCTCCTACTTGTTGACCAGCCTGTGCGAGCTGCACTCGAACCCCCGGCGTCTCAGCCGGATGATTGTCAACGACGGAGGGATTCACGAACGCCCGAGGACCTCCTGCCCCACGATTCGAGCCATGTCGACTCACCTTTGAGGAACCCCCGCCCGCCACCGAAACCTCCGGTCCCCATCGTCATCCCGCCGACTCCTGAAGATGAGGCCAACCGGCAGCTGAGGGTGGCGGATGGTGGCGCCGAGTTGAATGGGATTAATCCACAGCGGTTTGGCTCACTCCGACGCAGGATGGTTCGCCCTCGGTCAGATTCATTTGACCGTTTTGTCCGATCGCTGTCCGTTACCTCCGCGAAAAACCGCAAAGCTGGCAGAGATATCGACAGTCGGCTTCATCCATTCTGGCACCCACGTCGGTTCTGGAACGACTCGCCTGAGTCGGAAGAACCTCCTCACCAAGCCGCCCATATGGAGTCCGATCAAATCATAAGCAACTCGTTGGGAATGCCCCAGCCACGGGTTGTGTTCGACGGGCCTTCCCTCGCTCGTCGCAGCCCGTTGCAAGGCACGAATCCCCGCCGCCATCCAAAAAGTCTGGTAGGCGCCACCATGTTTAGCCCCGAAGCGCTTCGCTCCCAGACCTCTCTCCATCAGCGTCGCATGCTCTCCTTGTCATGGTGGAGGCTACGCCTTCGACTGGGCCCCGTGCGCAACCTCCGCAGACGCCTGAGGCGTTCGCTTCAGCAGCGCGAAGAAGCAAAGCGCGAGGCACGAAGGGAAAAGCTGAAGCAGAAAATCGGCGAAGCTGTGCTGGTGGGCTCTAGCATGCAGGCTCGCGACCTTCTTCACCGCCCCTGAACGCTATGTTATGAATTGCCATGATTACGATTTCTCAGATAGATTCCTATGGGATGCACTCTTATGATATGAATGATGTCCATGATTTGCTTTGTTTGCATACTTTTTTCCATGCCTTTTATGCTGCTGCAGTGCTTTGACCACTTTTGCATGACATTTAACGACTTACGATATGACGACGAGAACGAGCCAGCATGAGATTGTCTAGGGTTTGCCTGCATTTGCTTTTTGTTCTTTGAGTTCATTGATATAAGCCATATGTGTACTGGATGTACTACTACTATACGATAAACAAAATCAATCCAATCTACGACAGCGTATCATCTCCTCTGCCTCCCAATTCCCCCAATCTCCCTCGCACCGCCATCTGCCCAAACTCCGCCTCGCGCTCCCTCCGCCGCCTTCTCTCCTCCTCTCCTTCCTCCCTCTCAGCACTTGGACCCCTTGATGCATCCCTCCCGCGGCCTTCATCCGCTCCCACACGCCGGGATCAAGGAACGGCTGCGGCGGCTGCGACAGGTTCATCTCGACAGTATGCGCTTTTGATCGGTCCGTAGTTCCTGTGGTTGTAGCTGTAGCAGTAGCTATCGAAGACAACGGAGATTTGATGGTGACGCTGGCGGGATGAACGCTGGGGTTTATCGTTTGGGGCACGGGGCTGGGCTTCGTGAGGGGTCGTTTGGAGGCGATGAGGAGAGAGGAAGCGGGGCGGTGGAATTGGTAGGCGGGTGTCCCTGTCCTTGTTGCTGTTGTTGTTCTGCTTTCGGCGTTGGCGTAATGTTGCGACATTGTCTATCTGTACCTCTATAAATTGTATTCGATCGATCTGTTCGATGGGTTGATTGATACCTGGGCTACGGGGTGATTCAATGGAGGTGAAAGTAGATCAGATGACATAATCAGTCAGGTGTCTATTATCTCATCATTGGTGGATAGTTAGGGATACGATACTGATGAGCAAGCAACCCGCTCATATCCGTGGCAGTCATTAATCGCAGTGAATCAAAAACATGAAAAGTTATGGCATGGCGTAGCATAGCTAGACATAAAAGACATGAAAGCCATAGAAGAACCCAACTCCTTTGCTCCGGACCAAAAATGAGACTGCGTCAACGTGGTATATGTATGATACAACTCGACATGTTCGCTTGAGATAACTGATGAATACGGCGCGGTCAGGGTACTTCAGACGATAGTTTGCGGCTCCATCCCTGACATTGCGGAGTAGGAGTATGGGAGATCGACGAGGCCGTCCAGGACCCAGTTCAAAGGATCAAAGACCTCGTAGTTGGGCTCGAGGAATCCGCTGGGGAGATTGGTCACTCCGCTGGCGGGCGGAGCTCCCAGACTGCCTTGTGCGAGCATGGGAGCAGGCGCGAGACTTGGGTCAGCCGGGAGGCCGGGTGTGGAGGACGAGGTGCGCCCCGCGGGCCCCGCGGTTGACGACGCTGAAGATTCCGCGTTCGAGTCCGGATTTGTCGGGTTCTTAAGGTAAGCTGGAAAAAAACGGGGAGTATTAGTTCGGAGTCCATACTACTGCAAAGACGGTCAAGCATACCTTCGATATTACGGCCTTTGGTCTGTGCGTCTTCTCGCCATCGCCAGACAGAATCAAACAAAAGCGACATGCTCATGCGGCAGCGGACCTTGAGCATCAAGGTATCATCCACCTCGGCACTAGTAGCGGATGGTTTCTGTTGCTGGGTACCGCCCATTCGCCACATTTGGGCCAAGACTTCCGCCAACCGTTCGGGGAGGTCGTTGCTGGACACCGATACACCCCGAATCGCCCAGATGGTTCGGTTGAAAAGACTCTTGGTGTAGTCCATATCTATATGCGCCGCAAAGAAACTCTTGCAGAGCTTGAGAAGCGTGCAGGCTCCAGCAACCATCATCTGGTACACGTAGTAAGGCGTATAGGATAGAACGGGGCCAACATCCGTCTCCAGAGTCATAGCTGCCTCGAGGAACGACGTGGTTGCGACGTAGAGAGACAGAAGACGTTCTCGATAGTCTTTGGCTCTAGGATCGTCAAAGAATGCTGATAGGTGAAGATGGAGATTGGCAGCACGCAGAAAGAGGTCGGTTATCGCTGATCCACATTAGTGATGTTTCACCTGTCGGCACAGGGCTGGGAGCGCTTACCGTCAGTCCTTGACTTTACTTGGTCCTCGAGTTCATCAAAATCCCGCGACAGAAAAGTTATCAGCGTAGATCTCTCTTGGTCACTGCATAGGCCAACGGGGTCGCGCCGGTTGGTGTAGAGCGTCTTCGTGACCTTGTCGCAGAAGATTTCAATATCGAGTCTGCGTCTAATATCCTCGGGCAACTTGAAATTCGGATCCACCGACCCGCTCGCTGATAGTGTCCAGTCGTACAGAGTAGATGGTGGCTGGCCATATCCCGTTGCAACACTAGAGCCCGTCAGCGCCGAGGTCAATGAAAGTAGAAAGATACGAACATACCGCTGTGCGACAACATTACAGATGGCCCACGTCCTCACCTTGTCCCTGAGCTCCTCCTCGATGAGTTCTACCCGGAACTTGCTAAAGTCCTGGGTATGAGACGGTCGGTGCAAGCCAAGTTGCATGGCGACTTGTATCATCATACCGCATAACATAAAGGTAGGATCCGTCGAGGTACTGCTGGTAGGGAACGGCCATGAACAGAGCAGACAAAGCGCCTTCACTACGTGGTAGCTCTGGGGTATATCCGCCAACGTACTCCATACCAGTCGTGTGACTGGACCAGCCAGCGAGTTGAGCAGATGGGTGTCTGTTTGGTACCGCCGAGCGCCAACGCTGATGATAGTCCAGAACAGTAATGGTGATACGCTGTAGTAATCGTCTGGCGAACGTTGTCGGTCAAGGAACGGAAGAAAGGGATGATAGAACATGAAAAACCTGTTCTGGTAAGGACGATGCAAGAAACTCACTGTTGGGGCAAGCGGGACTTACAGGTCAAATAGCTCGGTCATTTTCTCCGGCGCAACCACCACATCTTCAATCCGCTTGAACAGATTCCCATTCCTCATGTAGTTCGAGCCATCAAAGCCGGAGCGCAAGTCAAGTAGAGATGCAACAGCCTCGTGAGAGCCCATGTATTGATCGGATGATATGGCGGAAGGTGTGTGATATACACCCGCAGGGCTGACATGACTTGACTCTTGTTTCGGAGTGACATGTGCGGAGTGAAGAGAAGGCGCATGTTGCTGAGGGGTCATGCCAGCAGGGTTGGCTTGCACGGTGGCAATCTGCTTTCGTAACTCGATAATCTCCCGTTCCATCTCGGCATTCCGACTCCTCTTTCCAACGCGTTTGAAGTTGGACTCGATCTTGCACTCGAGCTTCAAGCGACGGCATCGCGAACAGTCTGTCCATGGGTCTTGAATCACATCGCATCGAAGCTATCGAATCGAATCTCCTGGTCAGCATGGACTCCTTGAGGATTGGACAGCGCCAGCGACGGCAAGCGACAATCTTACCTTTTGTTGTCGACATTCGTTGCACGCTCGCTTCACAGGCTGCCTCTTCTTCTCCTCCCGCTGATCATTGTCCTCGACATCATCGACACTGCCAGGGGAGCTTTCCAGCCCCGCCATGGCGACGGTGCGTTTTTTGACCTGTCCCAAACCATCGGGACCGACAGCGGGAGAAGCAGACGAACGGCCGGTACCTCCCATTACGGGGCCGGCAGCAGCAGAAGCATTATTAGTATTCCGTGCACTGGGCTCCAGAGTGTCCCCTTGCGCACCCCCGCCTCCGATTCCGCTCGACGATCCTCCGATTGACGCCAGGCTGGGAGCGTTGACGATTACTGGACACGCGGCGGCCGATAAAGCTTGGGCGTGGAAAAAATACTTCCCCGGACTGCGCTGTCACGCGCAAAATTTTTTTGACCAGGAAGAAGGATCCCAGCGCCAGGGAATAAATGCAAGGAAAACTAGATATAAACAAACCTATTCCTGAAGAAGATAATTTCAATCACAAAATCCAAGTGCCCAGCCAGTTGACTCTCGTGCGCCTCGACAGACCCCTCAGCAGTGGATGAGTAACAAGCGGGGGAGAGACGAGACGTTGTCCGATCTCGCACCCGCTCACGTGTTTACCTCACGTGATCAGGCCATCTACCACTACCTACAGAGATAGTACTGCGTAGAACAACTGGGTATCTAATCTACCATGGGTCTAGGACGCTCATAACGTCGAATTAATTGTATTGAGCAAGGTGTCTTTGGTATCTTCTGTGGCTATCGGTATAGTTCATGGGAAGCCTATCATAGCCACCATTTGAAGGGTATGTTTAGAGACTCAACTGGCAGTTTAATGGCTGCCTGAAGGCGCTAAGGCATCTAACATAGAGATGCATACATACATCTACATGCATGCTTCAAGCCTATCCAATTGCCATCAAAGCTCTCGGCACCTACTACGTATCTACACTGTCCTTACTAGTCAATGAGATTGAATCGTATGCGGAGACCCCATTTTGTCCGGCTTCTAGAAATCTTCCACGGATCAGTGTCAGACTCCTCACTGGTGCCAATGGTTCAGCGCACGGCTCAGCCCGACTAAGCCTCCGGAGGCTGGTTGATGACCATCCAATAATGATTTCTTGTTTGGACCCTTGATATAGCTCCAGCGTATGATTGAAGTGATCCGAGGGGGCTGTGTCTCGCCAACTCGTTGCCCCAAACACCCCTCGCCCTGCACTGCCATTGCCCGGTACTCTACTTCACTAGGCTGGCCAAGATAACAGGAGTTGTCTGATACCGAGAGCTTCACAGTTGGAGCAGATCGATGTGCCGGTCTGCAGTCCTATGACCGAATCAGGTATTGCATCATCTTTATCGTTTCTGAACTGAGGTTCTTGATGGCTTAGCCTTAGTGACCATGTTATTGACCTGTACCCGAAACCTGATGAAGTACTCCTCCCTGTAACATATAAAGAACTCACTTCACTCCCTGCAAAGATATCTCTTCCCTGGCAAGATTGATGACTCTATTTCGCATGTATTCGCCAGCATGACTATCACTCAAGAGCTCGTCAAAGATAAGGCTGCAGAGGATTCCGACCGACCTTCTACCGATCAGCCCCCGGCTATGACCAGATCGACGAGCAACCATCAACAATCCCGCCGCTGAATCTGTCATACAATGCCGGGGCCCCGTGTCAACAACCGTCACCAGGGACCAGTGCGTCGCTCATCTCAAATTCATCGCGGCACTAGCGGACGTGCGTGATAGTGTGGCCGGGAACGATGGCCTCTTCGGCCTCCATGACCCACCACAGACCGAGTTCCCTGATCGCGTCGATGAGGTTCGGGCTCGCATGAGAGAAAAGAGATGGGCTGTCTATACTGCTAGAGCAGTTGATCGTTACACGAAGTGGTGGGAGACGTGCGTCCCCAGCAACAGGCCATGCGCTCGCCTTAAAGACCTGGAGGATGAGAGCTATGATCACATTACCCAAGGCAACCACCCGCTATCTTGGTCCAAGGATTCGCTGCCCCCTTTAGGTGAGTGATTGATACATAGTTTTTCTCATATACTATGTTTCGTCACATGCAGTGGCGTGGTGTAGTACTAACAGGGGCAGATGTCCTCATGGTATGGCATGCGCATATGCTGAACCCCAGAGCCTTCCTCGAGGACTGCATTCGGTCTGGGAAGATGAGCCACTGGGCAGGCGGCTTCCCCTGGGGAACGATCAATGATTGTATCGATAACCGAACCCTAGAGTATGACGCGGGGGCTCGCGCGAGGGTCCGTTTCAACGGCATGACGCGCTGTGCATGGGACAACCTGCACGACCCCCTGGAGAAGTTAATCGAGTGTCCCGCTTGTGAGAATACAGTATCGGTGCCTTGGACTCGAGGCAGAATCTCCCTCCCGATTCAGACGGCGTTCGACAAGTTCGACGGCTACGCAGACAAGAACTTCAACGTAAAATGCCCAAAGTGCGGCTCGACAATCGACCACGAGCTGCTAAGAGTCCGAAAATTCAGAAGGGATGCCGTGGGTTGGCTGAAAGAGAAGGTACCCATGCCAGGGACACTGTACAATTTGCGTGGAATCCCGGAATCGATCAGAGGGAGTCGAACTCGTCAACACTCGACGTTCCCTAACCGATTTATCGAGACATTGGGCAAGGACCTCCTTGACTACACCGACGCACGGCAAGCACGCTGCATGACTGTCAGCCAGCTGCGCGACGAGCTAGAAAGCAAACTCAAGGATTGGCAAATCATGCGACTGGCAAACAAGGGGAAGCCCCTGGGGGAAGACGGAGTAGCCTTTCGTCGCATGATGTCCCATTACTGGAATAATACCGGACCCTTTGCTCTAGATCTGGTCGGGGCAGTTATCCGACAAGGGACATTTGTCCAGAAGATGGACAACATCGACTGGCTCCACTCGCCCACCGTGATGGCAACCATGGACCGCCTGATACGCAAATACCATGTGTTCTTCCACATCATGGCGTCAAATCCGCGACGCATGGCCGTCCCCACCCTCGACGTGGACCTCGCCTGGCACACGCACCAGCTTGCCCCCCAGCGGTACTTCGAGTACTCCGTCTACCACACAAACCTGCATACCAGGATAGCCACCTTCATCGATCACGACGACAAAGTCGACGAGAATCGGCTCTCCGATGGCTTCGAATGGACCAGCAAGATATACAGGAAGCTAACCGACGGCGAGATCTACAGCGAGTGCACATGTTGGTACTGCGAGGCCATCCGTGCGCCCGACCTCCGGGGCAGCCCTTTCGTTTCCTCCACTGCGGCCAAAGCCCGCGAAGCCGCTGTCAATCTTCACAACAGACAGGACATCTCGTCTGATCCAGAAAAGAACCCGCACATCTCCGCTCACAATGCAGTCCGAGCCGAGACCAGGGACAAGCTGCTCGGCATCGACCGTCGAAGGGTACAGGCCCTGAAACTCCGTCACAATTACGAGAAGGCGCGCCGACGTGCCGAGAAGAGAAATCGCAAACTCGGCAAAACCGACGATGCGAAGAGACGTTCCTCGTCATCCGCAGCAGACGCCAATATGTACGCCGCTCCCTTGGTCTGGGGTTTCCCTGTGGTTGTGCCCTACTACGGGCCTTACATGTGCGACCCGTGCGTGAACCCTGACGCTTATGCATCGAACCCGACCTGTATGAGCACCATTGCAGGAGACCATGGGAACTGTTGTGCAGGCACATGTGGGGGCGGTGTCGCGGCTGGAGGCTGCTGTGGCCTGGGAGGGTCATGCAGTGGAGGAGGTGGATGTGGTGGTGGTGGAGGAGGGTGTGGAGGGGAGGAGGAGGCGGGGAGGATGCGGAGGCGGTAGCTGAGACTATGCTTATATCCCATGCGCGTCTTTGATTTTGAGATTTCTGATGATATTGACTTCCTAATTGCTTATAATATGCTCGTTCAATGTCTGTGGTGTTGCTCCAATTGTCTACAGCCAAATTCATAAAACTGAGTGAGTTGCCAAACTGCAGGATAGCATTTCGTAACGAAAGTCGAGACTCGGTCTCATGGGTATCCAAATATCGAGCGTGAAATCAGAATTCTGAAGCGCTGTCCCAAGAAGCATGCATGTATGTGTGTATATCGAGTCGAATATATCCAGAAAACAGTCCCAAACAGTGGTATGGATACTTCAATAAATGCTTCAAGCAGACAGAATATGAAAGATGAAAAACGGAAACCAAGTCTAGGCTACATCAAAACACATCTAGATCGCCTTTTGCTCCTTTCGTAGATCGTTTGTTCGTTCCACTCCTCTATACGTCTTCGCCACAGCTCATTCGCTGATGTGGACGACAGTGTAGGATCTGTGGATACTCGGCGATTAAGAGGTTGGATTCCTGTTGATGGCAACCGGATGTCATGAGATTGTGAGCGTCGAGTTGCCGATCTATGCACACCATGTGGTCGGCTGCTATTTTGCACGGTTGCCGGATCAATGATTTCAGAACCTGAAACCTGCAGGTTGGGAGATGAGACGGAAAATGGATAATGATTTATTCCCTGGGGTATGGCAAGAGCTGCAGATGCATCGAATTGCCAGTCGTGATGTAAAAAGGGCTGGTCGATCACAGGTTGCGCTTGCAAGGGGGCCGGCGCAGGACTTATTGGAAGGGGTGAATGGGTTGGAGGGTGAGTACCATCTACTTCTGCTGATGGCTCCTCGACATTGGTAGGTGAACGCGGACGTGCCTCTGGGAATTCAGTTTGACCTGAACGGCTGGCAGAACGGCCTCTCCTCCGAAAAATGTCGTCTGGTCGTAGACTTTGATGACGGGTTTCGGAATCCCTCCTTCTCCGGGCCCATAGGGAGCCGGCAACGGTGTTCAGCCTCTGCGGGGGAGTTGCAGAAATTCCTCCCTGGGACACGTTGTCCCAGCGAGTAGTTTGCGGTCTCCGGACTGAAGTAGGCGCGACACCAACTCTCAAAGACGGTTCAGTTCTCGTGGGAAGAAGAGTCCTCCTAAGATACTCCGGAAGTGGAGCGTCAGGCTCACTAGAGTAAGGAGGGGGTGGGGGGACCCAGTTATCGGCATCACTTTCGTGAGGGATTTGAAACGCCTCGGGCACCTGCGGTATTTGCCTCTCATTCTGTATTCGGCTCCATCGATCACGGTACAAAGGGTTGTATCGCCCACGACTCGATGATGCAGCCGTAGCAGCACGACGCAATGTGTCTTGAGAGCGTGGTTGCGTGTTGCCGTAGGGAGAATCGGGTATTGGAGGCGTTTCGTTATCATTTGAGGAGCTGGAGAAGAAGGAACTATGCCTCCGAGGACTGAAGGACAATATATGGTGATTTTCACGATTTATGGATGTGCGAGTCTCTCGAGCAGCAGCTCTTACTTGTTGAGACGCAGCATCACTGCGATGCAGGAGGGTCCGCCTCCTTTCCAACTCTACTTCGGTGTCCAAACTCGAATTCGGCTCGCTCAGTAGTTTTGGTTCTGCTTCCCCGATCTCAATACTAACCTCGGTGGATTGTCCGTTGGTTGTAGACCGCTCAAAGTCCAAGAGGAGGACTCTTCCACCGTCAACTGGGACATCTTCATCGCCGATCGTAGGCGGGCTGACGCCACCAGGAGCCACTGCCACCAACCGACGTTGTCCGACCATAGAGTGTGCGTACCGAACCCAGCGGGCTGCGGTCATTCCGGGCATGTCGCTCATCTTGTGTCCGCTGACTATTGTTTTGGGCTTGTCGATCGTCCACTCCAACCGGAGTGCATTATTATGCGGCAGACTGCCCAAATTTCTCATCGAAGGGGCTTGAGGGGCATTAGGTGTGGCTTGCGTTTCTCCAGTCGAACTAGCAATATCAAGTCGACTTGGTACTCCATACACCCAAAGGCCGGAATCCTGGAATCCCAACGCAACGAGCTCGCCTTGGCCGTCAGCGGAGGGAAGCATTGTCGGTAATGCCTCCTGTAATGTGTTGGCCGAGATGGGTCCCACAAAATACGTTGTTCCGGAGTTTGCATTGGCGACCCCAAACGCTCTGAAAGCTCGGATCCGGCGGTCATACCCCAGAATCCAGCTGCCCTCGCCCTCTGCATGAAGTGGCAGTAAGCACGCGTGGCTGTAACCAGATATCAGGTCCGGGAAGAGGATCTGGGTCGTCCACATCCGAACTTGGACCTCTCTCGGGGATGATTCGGTGTCTGGGTCAGTGTAGAAGGGCACTGTTATAGTGACCAGGCTGCTACTGGCGCTCTCAGCAGAAGAGCCAATTAGCATGACGCCGTCAGAAGAGAACGAGATTGCGTCGACCCCATCGCAGCGGACGGCTCTGCGTTCAGTGGTGAGAGCTCCCTCTCTGATAGCGTACATTTCGATTTTGTCACCGTAGGCGACTGCCAGGACGCCTCCGCTGGGGGAAAGCGCCAAAGCTCGGGGCACTTCTGTCAACTTAAGATCTTGGATCAATGAAGCTTCTTCGTTTGTTAGACTATAGATATTGATTTGGTGATCAGAAGAAACAACTGCAAGGAGGGAACCATCATCGAGAATGGTGGCGTTGAGCGGTCGTCTCCATATTTTGAGCTCATGCTTTACGGCAGCGGAATCAGAAGTTACGTCGAGGACAACAATCCTTGAAGAACTGATGCAGAGGATCATCTGAGCATTGGGCGAGAAAGCAAAACGAAAAGCCTCGCCCTGCGGAAAAGCGGTTGAAGAGCTCATGGACGTTGAGATGAGTTTGATCAGAGTTTGACGTGGTCTGAGAAAGACCTCGAACGCGTTTCGCCTGATCTCTGATAAGAATCGGCGTTTGAGACATGTCAAGTTCTCCGGGTTAGCTGCACTGGAGATAGACTCTCGCATCATGGAGAATGATGGACATCGAGACAAGTGATGGGCATACAGTGCGGCACAGTCCGAGATGCGCCTCCATTTTCGATTGAGCAAGGCAAGACTCGCGAAAGTGTTAGCATCAACAAGGTATAGAATCCTATGTGGACCATTAGCGCAATCTTCTCATCCTGTCACAGAGTATATGTATGGAGGACAACGACAACATCGAGAAGGCATTGCGAGCTGAACTTCAGGCGACTTACTGCTCAATCACACTGCGAGGTAAAAGACCGAAAGGCGCCGAGTTCTGTTCACGAGCCTCCTTTTCGGATCTCATGCACGGCTGACACTCTTCCTGTACGAGACAGGAACCCTCTACCCGCTCGACGCTCGGCATGAGAACATCCTGGTCCATGATAGTGGCATGGAGACATCTACGTCTGGTAGAATAAGACCATGTCTGTAGCCAGATCAATTTAATTCAGCTCCAGACAATTATGAGGATCTGCTTTTCCCCAAGGAGCGAGTAGACTAGTGGTATAGCAGAAAATCCAGAGTGACATTTGACGTGTTTTAGGGGAAGATGCAAGGATAAAGGCGCCAGTGCGGGCACCAAGCAGTGCTTGTGGCTGTGTTTGCACGCCAACGGTGATCTATTACTTAGCTACCTCGAGTGCGTCTGGCAGGTGTTTCAGAAGCGCGCAGAGTCAGAAGGATTAGGGATAAGACATCGTATGTGATGATGTTATACTCCACCAGGTGGATAGCTGTCATTTGAAAATGGCAGAAAGATGAAGACGATGAAGATCGGACCCTGGCGATCGAACTCCCCAGCTCGATACTCTGTCTGTCTAGTCTGGGTATCACTTTCGTGTCTCCGCGAACAAGTAACAACAACTGGATAAAAATAGCAGAGGCACGTGGTTGGGCTCACTGCTGAGTCAGCATCCCGATAAGAAAGGGAAAAAAGGCAAAAAAAAGAGGAGAAAAAAGAGCCGACAAGAAAAGAAAAGCGCAAAAGCAAAACAGACGACAGGAGAGAACTGAAACTCAACCAAAAGAGGAGAAAAAACTAGTCAGAGTCGATCAATCACGGTCGGCATTTTTGCAGCCACTTCCCCCGCATATCAGTCTCATTCGTCAAGCTCGGCTGATACACTGGTGGATATCGGACTAACCTCTTGCTTTTTACTACTACTTTGGCCCGGAAGTGTGAGGATTCGGCAGTTTCCGATACCAATTTTGCCTCTTCTACCCCATAGTCCAGGTCATGACGGACTACAGACGGCTCTGCAATTGTCAGTAGCAGTCAAGTACATATTTCTTGGCTTCATTCTTGCTTCACCCTCGATGTCGTCGGCATAGTCGTCTTTGCGCTAGTTGCTGTGCCGGTGATTGGCTCAGTGACTCCTTGGGAAGTCTTTACTTTTATTACCTTCAGGATATCGGAGTACGCCCTTCGAGCTCCTGAGGGCTATTACTTTACGACTATCTTACCATTCGCGACTACTAGGTAGTCTAGTTCCTCGTGGTATTTGCTTCTGAGCGAGTATCCATCATCAAGCTTTCGCAATCGTACCGTCTCGTCCTTCCACTCCGCCGGCGTTTCAAACGCCAGCCGTGGAGGACCCTGTGGGACCCTCAATTGGCGCGCTTTGCAGTTGATGACATTATAGTCCCTGTCTTGCGTTGGTCGGATACCTCTTTGGTGACTCAACATGCCTCCTGCGACTACTCAGAATAGCTCAGCGCAGAAACATGCTTCCCCCAGTTTCAACGCCGGGGCCAGACCATACAGATCGCACAAAGTCAGGGCTTGCGATCTCTGCAGAAAGCGCAAATCCCGATGCACTGTGGATATTCCCGGCCAATCATGCTTGCTCTGTCGGGTTCAAGGTGCCGACTGTCATTATCAGGAGGAACCCCTTCCGGATGCTTCGATCTCCAATGGCTCTGATTCTAAACGATGGTCTGTCGACCAGGTCAGTGAGGGTTTGAGTACGGGACAGAAACGCAAGCGTACGCCCGATACTACTATCTCCTCTCCTAATCCATCTCGAAGGCGTGAGAGTTTCAGTCGGCCGCGTGCCTATTCTGATAGTCGCGGAACCGACCGTAGACGCAATGGAACAGAAGACCCCCATAATGAATCCGTCTTCATTGTCGGTCCCGTGGTGGCCGACGATGCGCAGGTGATCGAGAAATTCATGCCCCCGGAAGAGCGTTCCAGCAAGTCTGTGGAGCCAAAGAGTCACCCGTACAACGTCTACTCGAGTGATCCGCGCAAACCGATCCTCTACACCACTGTCTCCAGGCGGAGACAGGGTATGCGCGTCGGTGTTCCCCCTGGTGAAAACCAGAAGGAAATCCTTGAACAGATCCTTGGCCCTTTCAAGCATGATCTAGTCAGGCTGTATGTTTCTCTTCTAAGCCATCTGTCATGGTCTCCGATCAACTAACATATATCGCCAGTTTTCTCGATAGGTTCAACATAGCTTTCCCGATATTTGATGGAGAAAGCTTCTGGGAAGCATATATATCGGAGTCATCAGGCGAACCACCGGCGTCCCTTCTCTGTCAAGTGTACTCCATGTCATTAGTCTACTGGAAGCACACGCCTAAGCTCGCATGCCATCCGAAACCCGATGTTCGGTATGCCGTGAACATGACGGTAGCCGCCCTCCACGAGGAATTCTCGGCACCTGGCCTATCAACGATCAGCGCTGCTCTAGTAGATTTGACCGGACGTCCGATCTTTTCGATGACGGGTAACGCCATCAGTTGCGGTCGACTTGTCGCACTAGCTCATTGCTTGGGCCTCAACCGGGACCCTAGCAACTGGAAGCTGTCTCCCCAGGAGAAGAACAATCGTATTCGTTTATGGTGGGGCGTCGTTATCCATGACCGTTGGTAAGCTCTTCCCAGGTTCTACCCTTTAACCGACGTAGATACTAACCTCCATCAAGGGGAAGCTTTGGACATGGAGTTCCTCCTCAAATCGCCAAGAATCAATACGACGTTCCTCTTCCCACCATCGACGTGTTGGTACCACCATCGCACCGGACCACGGAACGAGTGAGGGCAGCCCACTGTCACATCTGCCTTTGCCGTTTGACGGAGATTCTGGGAGAGTTGCTGCCGCTTGTTTACGGTCTGCAGCATAGCTTACCACGCGAGACGACTAAAAAGCTGCGACAGATTCAAACGGACCTCGACATGTGGGAAGACTCTCTTCCTGACTGGCTCAGAACACCGGTGCAACATAGCTCCGAGTCGCGCGTGTCAGGAATCAGTAGCCTGCAGTTATCCTTCCTCGCAGTTAAGATGCTGGTGAGCAGAGTCGAGCTCAAGGTACGTCGTTGTGAACCGCACATCATGCTTGCTGCAGGCATTATTCTCTAATACACCCCATGCAGGAAGTGAATAATGCCGAGACGGACAACCCAGAAGCCCGCCGGTACTTCCAGACCGAGTGTCGAAAATCAGCAGAGGAGATTGTGCGATTTATCTCGTCTCTGCGCAAGCAAAACTTTCAAGAATTCTGGCTACCATGTACGTCCGCCTTGATTAGATTTTCCCCACCCACCCAGATCTTCCACCATCGTTCTATTCTAACACTCCATTAGACAGCGCATTCCACCTCACATCAACCGCCACCCTCCTCGTCCGCTGCGCCCTAGAAACAACAGACAGCGAAGTAGCCCGCTCCTGCCTCGCAAACGTCGAAACTTTCCGGAGCATCCTGCGCCGCGTCAGAGAAGAAGAAGACTGGGATGTCGCCGACATGTGCCTCGATCACTGCGAACGCATCCTCAACCGACTCGCCGCCAACGGAGGCACGGCAGACCCGACCCTCAACCCGTCGACTGGTCAATACGACAATCGTATCGTGAATCCAGCTGCCATCTCGCTCCCTGTCTCGCTCCCTGAAACCCAAACCAACAATGATATCGTGGACGATATGATGTCTATCTCGGGGACATTCGGGACCATGGACGGATTCCCCTTTGACATGACTGGGATTTGGGATGTATCTGTCTTTCAGGATGTCAATCTCACGTAGTGCATACATGCATAATGTAATTGGGCTGAAGTGAAAGGCGTGGGTGGATTTCTCTCCGTTTTTTGAATTATACCCGCTTGAAAGGCTTATGTGAGGTTGTTGGGCTTGTATTTAGGCAGCAATACCTGCTGATCAGAAGCTTGGAAGGAACATACCTACTATTTGATCCTTTGCAGAGTTGAGTGAGATTAGATATCTCGGCATTAAAAGAATTTTCCAATTTATACACAACAAGAATCAACCAATGCGCTATTTTACAAATACCCCCATGATGCTCAGGAGCCTAGACAACCATCTAGGGATGAACCCCTCACCGAGATGAGAAGGACCACAGATATACATTATAGGATAGAAGAGAAGGAATGGGTTTGCCTCAAGTCGTCAAGCATTACAGCCGCAAACATCCCTTTACTGCTTACCAGCACCAAACATGCTGGTGAAGGAACCCTTCATCATCTTCATCTGTTCCTGACGAGCCTTCTCCTCTTCAGCGGCCATTTCCGCGAGCCACTTCTCTCCATTCTCACGGATCTCCTTCTCAATCATCTCATAGTTCTTCTGGCCTCGTTCACGGATCTGGTCCCAGAGCATCTTGCCTTGGGCCAGGCCCTCAGATGGGCTCTGTTCGCCGTCCAGTGTGCGGGTAGACTTCAAGCCCAGAGCAGATGCCAGGCTGCCGACTCCACGCTTGGGCCGTCTCTTTCGCTCTTCCTCCATTTCCTTTTCGAACTTCTCACGCATGATCTTCTCGCGCTTGGCGAATTCAACAGGGATGGAAGTACCCTCGAATGATTTCAATACAGGGCGCACATCTTCGATACCCATACCGGCAATGTATTCAAGGAAGGGAATCAATGCAACAAGGTTCTTGTCCTTGGGGTCACCAAGCCACTTGTCCAGAATGATGGCATTCTCGGGCTGCAGGCGCGCATGCTCCTCCTTGGTATCAACCAGGATCACCTTGGACAGATCGCGGTTCAGGTATGACAGGTCCTACGGATATGTTAGTGAGTTCCGTTTAAAGGCTGGGTATGAGCTAGCCTGGCCTACCTTGATGTATTCACCATCCTTGTACCTGGTAGCTTCTCTGAACAGTGGCCAACGGATGATGCGGTAGGGGTCGAGCTTCCGGAGAACCTGATCCGCCATCATACTGGGGACACTAGTGAAGAGAACAAGCTCGTAGTACTGGTTCAGGTAACGAAGGAAGTAGTCGACACCTGGCCGCTTGGCAATGCGCCATCCGTGTTCACGGCTCCACTCACTATGCACAAGCAGATCCTCCAGACTGAGAACAAGCGTGTAAGGTTGGCGGAGATTGGGATCCTCATCAGGGAGCAGCTTCGGGAAAGCGGGATCCTTGTAGTAGCTGGTGAGATCGCTCAAACGGGCCTTCATGCGGTTATACCATGACGAGAAGCTCCAGCCGGATGGAATGTCGGGGTGCGCCTTCGCTTCTTCTTCGGTCTCCCAGTTTCGTCCCAAGTAAGCCACTCCTCCAACGCCGGCTAAGAGGAAAAAGGCGTACATCAAGTTGGCCATACGAGCTCTGCGGCGATCGAGCGAGGAGACGTAGCCCTCCTTGGGAATATCGCCTCGGCCATCATCGGTATAATCTTCGGAACGCGAAGGGTCCTCTGTAAGATTCAACGAAGTCTGTCCAGATTTCTTCGTATGACCTTCTAATTCTGCGGCAAGAGTGGACGGGATACCCTGGGTGAGGTCAGGAAGCGGTTGTTGAGGTTTAGATTCGGTCTGCAGAGGGTTGGAGAATTAGATAGAGTCTGGAATGCTTCAGAGAATCAAACGCTTACAGCTTCAGAAGCCTCCGGCGCAGCGTTCCCCGCTGGATCCGCCTTTGTATCGAACTCTGTTTGTTCCGCCGAGTATTCTGGTTTGGGGGTAGATGAGGGCTGTTCGGACTGCGAAGGCTTGACGGAATCTGGCAGCTTATAAGGAGCCTTGGGCTTAGTGCTCTTTGCGTACCATCGCGATTTCGGGACTGAAACAGCTGATACGCGGATAGTGGAAGTAAGGACGCTGGACCTCGTTAAAGGTAGTACAGCACGGCTAAGCATAATGACGATGAGAAGACGGAGCACCTAATAGTATGGGATAAGAGAAGGCAGCGCACTCATGCTCCGCTTGGGAAGAATTTAGATAGAACTAAATAAAGACAGACAACTAGGTGATCAGGTGGAAAAGTTGTCTGTCCTGATAATTGGCATATGATTAGAAGTTGTCTCGTTCCAGAAGACCTTCAGAAAAGTTGGAAGCGCTCGAATACGGCGGGCGGCAGAATCCATCAACGCAGCCCTTTCCACCGGTCTTAAAATCCGCCATCTTCCGCCAGCTTTCGTTCTCCTTCTCTTCTTCTTCTTTTCTTCTTCAGTTTTGAAAGTTGATTCAACCCAGATTAATTTGACCCAACAAGCTCTCATATCATGCATGCCGGGTTGTATTAGCTGGGGAGACTGAAGATTCTCTTCTATCCCACTCCCAAGAGCCGCAGCAAAGGTTTCCAGTGAAGCTGCAGCCCCGTTCGTGGGATACAAAAATTTCTTTCCTCGCAAGATATATCTGGCCTCTGATGTATACTCCCTTCAGGAGCTCTTCCTTGAGAAGTGACTAATCCTCAATTAAGTACAAAAATGGCATGAACACAGAATTTGACCTAAGGCCATTCTCCATCCCTTAAATATCCACAGCGTATTTGTACCTAGCCTCGGACTTCCATTATCTGCCAACATGGATTCCCTCTCAGATGCTTTTGAGAAGGTAAAGATCGAGGGCACGCCACCGCAACCCGATACGAGTGAGAATCAAGAGGACGAGGACATCCTCGAGGAGGAGTCCATTCCTCCGACGCTCTTTCGCTTCCTCGATCTTCCTTCCGAGATTCGTCTGCGCGTATATGACCTTGTGCTATTCACACCTTATCGTTTGAAACCGCGGCGAGCCAACGGAAGTGTAGGCGCCTCAGCAAAGAATCCTCCCATCGCTCCCTTTCGGGTCCGTGTCGCTCTGTTCCTTGTGTGTCGGCGTATCCACGATGAGGCTACGGATTATTTCTACTCTGCGCTGACTTTCCGCCTTTTCCCAATTCAGGATTGGAGCCGCACGCCAACTGTCAGAGCTTTGCCAGCAAGACACAAGGCGTCCGTGAGGACGATCGAGCTGATTCTGGGCTCCAGTTGGACCTCGCCTCCTCGGGAGTGGGTGGTGAACAATCGCCTGGGGCTAGAAAAGATGGTGCGCGTTAGAACATTGAAGGTCTTCCTTGAGTGCGATCCATCGCATCCTGTTTTTGAAGGTTTTCGCGTATCTCCAGGCTTCTACACCGATTTTGCGGGCAAGATCCTCAAGCAGGTTCTGGAGAGATTGCCCCATGTTGTACAAGTGGAGTTTGATGGTTATCCATCTGTCTCCAGAAGCGGAAGTCTAATGAAGCGCCTGCTACACGAGGCGAGGGCAGCACAGAAAAAGATTCTCTGGGGACCCGAGCGAGGATGGACAGACGGGGATAGTGAGGGTGAACAAAAACCGAATCAAGTGGAATTTGAAGAAGCCGACTGCCAAAATTCAGTGCAATAAATAGTGACACACCGTCTGGCTAAGGATTTTCTCGATGCGCATTGTCTCAACCATTCATACTATATCAAGCATCATTTATCTATGTGTAATTTCATCTCTTCGGTCCATAGAAGTCAGGTATAGAGCTCCAGAACATAGGGGAAAACGTCGGTTGGCATTCCTCATCTTCCTCCGGAGTGTATCTATAGTTCCTCGTCCACATCCATGCCCGTCCCCTCTTGAGCTCCCTTTCCGCTGGATAAACGCGCCACCGAAGCCTCCTTGTCAATCATCTGCCGCGATACCGCAACGATGTTGTCTTCGATCAGTTGCTGGCTCACATCTTCAATGTCTGTAAAGATGGTTAATAACAACCAAATCAAGGAAAGACAGGTGTAGTACTTACGCTTCTTGGGGTCAACCTTTCCAACATATCGCGTCTTGAGTTGGTCCTTGGTGAGCTCTGTCTCCTCCTTGACCCGCTTCTCGTAACCTTCAGCAAGGCTCACTAGCTGCTTCATCCGCTCCACGTTGTGCTGGCCTTCCTCATGGAAGTCGTTCATCTGCAATGCTTCTGTCCACACGTGCTTGTGCAAGTTCATCAGCATGTTCTCCTCCAGGCCCGTCTTGCGATAGTTGATAGCGATGCTATAGTAATGTCTGTTCAATCCGTGGATGAGCGCCTGGATTGATGGCTTGTTCAGGTGGCCCAAGTTGGATGTCGTTTGCCGGGGCTCCTGGCCCATGACAACGGTCTGAGGCTGGATCAGTCGGAAGGCATCGATGACAACCTTCCCCTTAACGGATTGAATCGGATCAACAACAACTGCGACTGCTCGGGGAGTGAGCTGTTCGAATGACTGCTGAGTGTTGATGTCCACGGACGAAAGCCAGCAGCCAAAACCAGGATGGGAGTGGTACCATCCAACGACTGTCTCCGGCCTGCGTTTCGAAAATCCATCAGCGGTGCAACTTTCAAACTTGTCTCATCCCGTTAAGACCTACCGTCCAGTTTGCCGAAGCATCTCCATCATCTTGGTCTGAAAAACAGGGTCCACGGCCTCAACGCTGACACCAGTACCGCTCTGGGGCATGGCAAAAACATCAACCACACGAACTGTGTATTCATCGACGAACTCTCCCAGCATCAGGCCCATGACTTCCATAGGCACACCTGCCCGACCATGTCTTAACATCTTCAACAAAGCTAGTGATGAAATGTGTACGGTCTCGGAGTTGTCGATCAGGTTCGGGGTGTCCTATAAGAAGTATAGTATCAGCCACCATAGTTCTCAGTGACTTGATGCCATGAATGCTCTATATTCAACCATTGCAGAAGCCTTTGGAGAGGACCTTGGATAGATGGTCAAGAGTAACAGAGATGCAAAGCGTGAATGACGCAAAGGGCCGACTTACACCACCTGGAGCCGCGCTTCCCATACCCATGCCCTGGGCGGCCTGAAGCATCCGATTGAGTCGGTCCATGGTGACCCAGAGACTCTGAAAGAACTAGGAAAGAATGTAGAATAGCTTCCTCTATGGAAGCAATGACGGCGCGACAGTCGGTCGGCGACACAGAGGCAGATTTTCTGTTGCGTAGAGGGCGAAGTGAGTAGAAGTCAATGGAATTAAATGTTAGGTAGCCCGGTTGAAGGAGGAGTTGAGCTTAGATGGAGAAAAGGATGACTGTAGAAATAGAACGAGCCAGCTGGTTGAGTGGTGATGCTCCGGAGATCTAAGCAACATCCTTAGCTGGGCGTGATCGAGCTGAAGATCCAGCGAGCCTGACGGAGGCGGTGGGAGCAGCTCTTCCGTCTAGTCTCGGCCTCCCCCTCTGGCCGCTGCGGCCTTTGCTCGGCCTCCCCTTCGCTTCCTCCATCACTTATAATTTCCCCAGCCGGCAGGACGGAAATTCATTGCAGCTCCATAACCTTTGATATTGTTCTGTCTTCTCATATCAGGGCTGATGCATTGTTTTCATCAGGAACCATCTAACTCTTAAGACCTCTTCAAACCTTTGGCGCAGTTCTCTTGCTTTACCATCACCCCATCTTGAGCACTTCTATAATCGATCCAAGCCATACCACTTTGCCATCTCGCGACTTCTCTCACAGAATTATACGCGGTTCTGAGTGAAGAATACCTGTGCATTTATGCACAGTTTCATTTACAATGGCTGCTCCTCCGATTGACCTGGATCTCAATGGCTCCGGCGATCGCAGCAAGAAGGTTGCGTACTTCTACGACTCGGACGTAGGTAACTACGCCTATGTTTCAGGGCATCCGATGAAGCCGCACCGTATCAGGATGACACATAGCCTGGTTATGAACTATGGCCTCTACAAGAAGATGGAGATTTACGTGAGTGTTCACGGATTTTCAAGGCTAGATTCAAACAGAATACTAATGGGTTATCGGCGCAGCGTGCGAAACCAGCCTCAAAGTATGAAATGACACAATTCCACACCGACGAATATATCGACTTCCTTTCGAAAGTTACACCAGACAATATGGATCAGTTTTCCAAAGAACAAGGCAGGTATAATGTTGGGGATGACTGTCCGGTTTTCGACGGGCTGTTTGAGTTCTGCGGTATTAGCGCTGGAGGCAGCATGGAGGGTGCGGCACGCCTCAACCGCAACAAATGCGACATCGCTGTAAATTGGGCTGGAGGTCTCCATCACGCGAAGAAGAGCGAAGCCAGTGGTTTCTGCTATGTGAATGGTAAGCTTGTCTTCCTGTGCGGCGATTGTTATTATCGACCGACATCATCTCACGTTTCACAGATATCGTTCTTGGTATCCTCGAGCTGTTACGATTCAAGCAAAGAGTCCTTTACGTCGATATCGATGTCCACCACGGCGACGGCGTCGAGGAAGCGTTCTATACAACTGACCGCGTCATGACTGTCTCATTTCACAAGTACGGAGAATATTTCCCGGGAACTGGTGAGCTTCGTGATATTGGAGTGGGACAGGGCAAGCACTACGCTGTCAACTTTCCACTTCGTGATGGCATCGATGACATTTCGTACAAGAGTATCTTTGAGCCCGTTATCCGAAGTGTCATGGAATGGTACCGCCCAGAAGCTGTCGTCCTTCAATGTGGTGGTGACAGTCTCTCGGGTGATCGTCTAGGTTGTTTCAACCTGAGCATGAGAGGCCACGCAAATTGTGTGAACTTCGTCAAGAGCTTTAATTTACCAACGATGATTCTCGGTGGCGGTGGTTACACAATGCGCAATGTTGCGCGAACGTGGGCGTTTGAGACTGGAATTCTGCTAGGGGACAGCCTAGGTCCAGAACTCCCTTACAATGACTATTACGAGGTGGGTCCATACTTGTTTGAATGCTGAATGCCCGCAGATTGCTAACAAGATACCTTAGTACTTTGCACCGGACTACGAACTGGATGTGCGTCCGTCGAATATGGACAATGCCAACACGAAGGATTATCTCGACAAGATCCGAGCTCAAGTGGTAGAGAATCTCAAGCGGACGGCTTTTGCACCCTCTGTGCAGATGACCGACGTACCTCGCGAACCTCTTGTTGAAGGCATGGACGATGAGGCAGACGCAATCCTCGATGATCTCGACGAAGACGAAAACAAGGACAAACGCTTCACGAAACGTCGATTCGATCAGTATATCGAGAAGCCTGGTGAACTCAGCGATAGTGAAGACGAGGAAGAGAATGCGGCGAACGGAGTTCTTCGCAAGCCTCAATCGCTGAGGCGCAGAAACCAGATCAATTATCGGAATGTCGACCTGGACTCCGGGCTTGATAGCGGGGTTGCCACTCCTCAAGAAGCCTCATCAGTCCCGGATGACGAGATGGACACCACTGCCGACACGAAAATGGCCGAAGCACCTGTACCCGAGTCTGATGTTCCACCCTCGCCATCCGCCGCCGGATCGACTTCTAGGAGAGACGAAAAAGCGGCTGCAGAGCCTACTGAGATGGCTGTTGACGGACCAGAGGAGGTTTCCGCTTCCGCTGCTGTCTCTCGCCAACAATCCCCGAAGCCGCAGGATGAGGACACGACGATGGAAGACGCAGGCGCGCCTGTCCCTGAAACTGAGCAGTCGGAGAAACCAGCGTTGTCAGTTGAGGGACAGGAAGAGGAGAAGAAGCCAGAGACACCGGCTCCAGAAAAGGCAGCCCCAGAACCTTCATCTCCCGTCAAGCCTTCGCCTATTCCGGGCGAGAAGGACGTCTCGGACAAGCCAGAAACGAATGATGCAACGGAACCGGTAGAGGTCAAGGCCAAGGAGAAGACCCCCGAGGCCCCTACCGATCAACAGGCTGTGAAAACCGAGCAGGGAACTTCTGAGGATGCCGGTGAAAACAAGACAAGCAGCCAACCCGCAGAAGTAAGCACAAAACAGCAACCCGAGGAGCCTGAGAAAGGCGGGGAATGATGTTCTGCTCTCTGTCTGTGAAGGCGTCCGTCCATTGGAAGTTTCTGGCGTAACAGGGCAATGGTAGTATGGTGTTTCGGGCTCTCGAAATCATTGCATATGTTCTATGAGGTGGCCTTTTTATTTCTTTATATTCTGGTGCTAGTTTTTGCTTGTTTTTTTGAGCCAGATATGGTCCAATATGACTTCGTTTTTATTCACTCTTCGCTGGCATGTTATCTTTCGTCAACCAATCTCTCTTGTATACTATCTATATTTGGTGTTGACTCCGATAAGCCAGGGTTTGCGCAGATCATTTAGTCTCTAAATGAGTCTAATAATATAAGAAGTATATGAAAGCGTTTAGAATATGGAAAGCATTTAAGTTTTGCTTTCAGTATCGAGCAATACGAGCTATGGGCTTTTTTGGTTTGATAGACTGGATACAAGTGAGCGATACAATTGAGCTCTCGGACATAGGCATGTAAGCAGGCAACTGATTTAAGTTTAGTTAACACAGGGCATTGTTAGGTAATCACAAACTAGCCCTATTCAAGCTTAGCATTAGGGCACGCTCTGATTTCCAAGGCGGGGCAAAAGAGCCAATGGTGATCAAGCGCCAAGATTCTACACACGACGCACACTAAGCGAGAGCAATTCGAAACCCGAACCGCCGTGCAAACCCTCGACGTCGCCCAGATCCCTCTCGACCTTCGTCGCCTTTTCGCCCTTTTCCCAGTATCCGACACCGACTACGTGATACCTAGCCAAGATGTCTAAGAGAGGGTGAGTCACAATGCTTCTTTTCCGGGTTTTGCGGAGCGCTGCGCGGTCGACAAAGAGCGCACTGGTGGTGGACGTTTCTTTGAAGGCTGGAGACCAAGAAGCGTGAGGTGCATTATCGTTGAAATAAGAGGAGGAACCGAAGAATCTGCAAAGTGTTATTTTGGAGTGGCATTTTTGAGAGAAATCGCGCCGGGGTCCAGGGGATATTGGGATTTTCAGGAAGGGCCAGATATTGAAGGAATGAAATGCTGACGATTGATTTCGAACAGTCGTGGTGCCGCCTCCGGCAACAAGCTCAAGATGACCCTCGGTCTGCCTTGGTACGTTATTGCAATTCCTACTCTACCGAGTCGAACACGATTGTCGAGTGACCTGTGTCCATTGTCTCCTTCGAGCCTACACAACTCCGTCATTCAATCATTACGAGAAAAGACCAACTACATCTCAGTCAACCACCAGATCAACTCTCCCCGTCAAACGTGTTCGACTCGTCAGAAAGGAGGAATCATAGACTAACATCTTATTTCGTGATATAGCGGTGCCGTGATGAACTGCTGCGACAACTCTGGTGCCCGTAACCTGTACATCATCTCGGTCAAGGGAATCGGTGCCCGCCTGAACCGTCTCCCCGCTGCCGGTGTCGGTGACATGGTCATGGCCACCGTCAAGAAGGGAAAGCCCGAGCTCCGTAAGAAGGTCATGCCCGCCGTTGTCGTCCGTCAGAGCAAGCCCTGGAGAAGACCCGACGGTATCTACCTGTACTTCGAGGACAACGCTGGTGTGGTGAGTACACCTTTTTCTCTTCGTCTGGAGCGGCGGTTACGATTTGTACTCGTGATTCGAGATATAATGGCCGTCGCTATTGGATGACAGATTCAAGAACGAATGCTAATCACTCAATCTATTACAGATCGTCAACGCCAAGGGTGAGATGAAGGGATCCGCCATCACTGGCCCCGTCGGTAAGGAGGCTGCTGAGCTCTGGCCCGTAAGTTACCTATTATTTTCGTTATATCCTCCGGTTAAAGCACGGATACTAATCCTCTTGTCAATAGCGTATTGCTTCCAACTCCGGTGTCGTTATGTAAAAGAATCAATACAAAAAGGCGTCGTGACATTAGGAAGTCAGGGAGAGATAGAAGCAGCGATACCAGGGAATGAAATCATCTTTTTTTTCGGTGCACATGACACAAAGCCACGACTATGCATGAACGGGTCCGATCTCATCTAAAGCCGCCCATCTCTTTCCTAAATGACGTGTCTCTATTGTTTCTTCTACTGGCGATTCGGAAATACAAAAAATGTTCAAAATCGTTTCTCCTTTCTTGATATTTTGCCAGTATGTTTCTACGGATAACCTGGATGGCCGGAGAGATCCGATGCAGCCGGCTTCATTCGAGCGACAAGTAATGGAATCGAGGCAATGCTGGTCTTTATCCTGTTGCAACCACTTGCTTCTGGGATGCTTCGAACAAGTCTAATTCTAGAACCTACACATTACAGACCCAGTATTCTAAACGTAGACATAACCAAAATTATATACATGTTTTTCCAAATCGAGAAGAGAAACAGGCCAATGGTATATAAACACAAAATTAGTATGGTACAAAGAAATCCAACTCGAGGAAATGGAAAAGCAAGTCGCTCGCTGCTGATGCTAATCTTCAAAATATCCAAGATCGGTCTATGACTTGACATGCGGACTTTTCGCAGCTACAGACTGTTCTGCCTGTCGCTGTCGCTTCAGTCCAATCGGTCTAGGCAAGAGAGTATATACCAAAAGAAGTAAGACGGCCACAATGTCGATCACATGGATCGCCCACCAGATATGCTGGACTCCGGCCTTGCACATGGTGATCTCATACTTCCATTCGTTCACGGCCGGGTTGGCGTCAAACCAGACGGAGAGGAGACCTGCGTTGCCGCCGTAGTCGCCCATCATGGCTCGGAGAGTGACTTCGCGAATGGAGGGCGTATGCGATCTATCCTCTGGGACTGCACTATAGCGTCTTGCGTCCCACTTCCACGTTTGCTGAGTTGTATCGTCCCCCGTGTCTGTAGTGATCGAGCGGTTGACGAAGTGGACGATGTCACATCCGGTGTGGTCGTGGCCATTAAGGATGAGCCCATTGCGGCCCCAGCCTCCTCCCGGAACATCTCTGTCGCCGCTCATGCCATATATTCCTTGGAGGACGCCGATGGCGCTGAGCTGCTCGCTCAGATGGTTCTGTTCCCGTAGTCCTCCCTCCTTGAAGCGGGGGATACCATCTGGCCCGTCTTCGTCGTCGGACTCGTGGTAGGTAAAGAACGGTCCGTCGGTGCAGATGCCCTCCTTCTTATGTAGCGGCAGATGGGTTAGGAGAAGCGTAAAGGTTGTCCGATCTTCCACGGGGTACGTGCGCTGAGTGATCAGATCGTTAATGAAGGCGTAGCTGTTCGACTGAACTTGTTCGGATAGTGCTGGCCCGTCGAGGGTCAACGTGTTGAGGTTGATCAGGTGTAGAGTAGGCTTGACAGCAGCGTCTGCCGCACCGCCAGTTTGGTTCTTGAGGGTATACTGAAAGCGAACATCCCAGTTCGCGCGCCCAAACATGCGCTCGAATCGCTCAATCCGCGCCTCGCTGGCGTCTCCCGCATACCCTATATCATGATTCCCAGCAATGTTGATGACCCTCCGACTCCAAGCCGAGTCCGTCGCATTCAGCTCCTCCAACCCAGGCACAGTATCAGAACCCGCTCTATAGCCCGCCGACCCAGTAACCGTAATCTCATCGCTGACCCACTTCCCCCCTCTGAACACCCGATTCCAGTACCTGTCTGCCCTTCGCTCAAATTCCTCATCGGTAACCCACTGGCTTCCAATCAGATCCCCCAGCACCGTGACATGCGTCGGACGTGTCCACCAATGCAGCGTACGGTATATATGCGAGAGGTAAAAATCGTTCCCGAGTAAATCAAGTCGCTTTCTCGCGGCCAGAAGTGAGCGCGGAACGTCTTCGAGCGCGAGTGTGCGGAGCGCGGCAGTTACGTTGCCTAGGACATCGCGGTGGAAGGGCGACCCGGACTCGGTTACAGATGACCTGAATGCAGTCCAGTGCTGCTTGATCCGGGCGGGGAGCTCTTCGTCCGGGGTAGGGAGAGAGCTATCACCTTCTAGTTGTGGGTCTGCGAGTACTAGCAGCCTGAAGACCGCTGGCTCGCTTGGGGGCCGCTGTCCGATGTGTTGCGAAAGGGTGTGGAACAGTGGACTATGCGCGGGACTGAACGCATCAAGTGGGTGCTCATTTTTGCTGACTGGAAGTGGAAATGCACAACCCCGGAAGATCGGATAGAGGTAGAGGTAGAGACTGGACGTTATTGCGAGAGGAACGAACACGACGAGGGCACGGAATAGGAGAAGGCGGAGGACGGACATGGGGACACGACTGGGAGATGACCACGCATTGGCGTGGATATTTGATTTATACGGGCTATAAAGTCATGAGATCAAAGAGCATGCAAATAATTGATTTTCAAAAGTCACGCGACGAAGAAACGGGGAGGTGAAGAGAAAATGGGTTAAGGGGATCCCAGTAGTTGGGAGATTCGACGGAAGAAAGTCCGCGTAGTTTAAACAAAAGTATTACCACAGCGAATAAAAATACACCGAGTCACCATGGCAGGATCATTCCAAGGTCTATACGCACCGAGCTTTGCCATTAAGATAAGAAAGTTATTTTTATTAAAAGAACATTAATGGTTTTCATCAAAGATATACAAATAGAAAAGAATTGGAAAAGATGTCATTCCGGGTTTTCATGTTCTAGCCAGCAACAAACATCTTGAACCTCATGGTATATCCGCATATTCCTATGCCTTCAGAACACCCAGCAGAAAGAGGTTTGAAGCAGATAAAGCAAACTGCCATAATCTCAAACTCGGAGGAGGTAGGGTTTTCGAAAAAGAGAACAAGAAAAATCAGATCAAAAGGGGGTATATCACATAACGCCAAACGGGTTGAATAGTGTTGCAGCAGGACAGCAAGCCGGTAAACTTGCCTCATTAATCGGATTTCAAAAGAGTCTCTGGTAGCAAAGACGATGGCCCTGTATCGAGACCACCAAGAGAGTTTGGGGAGGCAGGTTCGTCTTCCTTGCTCTCACCGCTTGCGGGCGCTTTGTCGACATTTAGGCCTTGGATTCGCAAGCCGTTGTTGCGTGCCTCTGTTTCGGTCGACGCTCGATTGCGCTTCTCTTCTTCCTTGGCCTCTTGTAGTTCTGCCTCGGTCATCAGTGCAGGGGGTCGTTGGTTCATCATCCGGGCTTGCTTCAAACTGACTGTCTTTTGCTTGTTGGTTGTCTCGACGGGCAGGCTCATATCACGCTCGATAGTCGCTTTCATCAGCGCAGCCATCCATAGTCGACCTTCTCTGACACTGTCCACTTGGAAGTAATGTACTGCGGGTTTGGTGAATTGTACGGTACGGGATGTCTTGGGAGGCACAAGCTTGAAAAAGAACGGCCCCTCTGGATCAAGCTTGGAATTGCGAGAGGAAGGTGAGGTGGACGACTTGTCCGCCGACGAAGTGTCAGCACCGTTGGAAAGAGAGGGTGATGTTGGCGATGCCGTGGCGCCGGTGATAGTTGCATGCAAGGCGACAATGGGATCGTTATCTGCTCGTAGTACACGATGAGCGGTGATGTCAATGAGGCCTCTTTCCTCGGTGTCGTTCTCGGAGTAGTAGTAGGACAGACGGCGGCCACGTAGGACAAATAGGCGAGGTTTCCACGTAGTCATGAGATTTGATGATCTCTTTTTCATCCACCCGGAGTAATCACAACCGTCCATTTGCTCTTGTGGTGTCTTCTTCTCCAGGCCTCGCATATAGGCGCTGGTGTCTTTCTTGGATTTTGGGCCCGCCTTGACGGATGCCCTTGGACGCGGCAAAGACATTCCTCCCTCTGCGTTCTTGATTGAGCTTTCAGTGCTATGCCTCTCAGAACTCTTCGACGTCGACGGTGTAGTAGAACCGGTTCTGACCGAAGCTGGATCGGTATCTCTAACGGGCGAAGCTGGTGCGACAGAGGTGTCGATATCCTTCCCGACAACATCGGATATGATACGGAGCCCACCTGTGCGCCGTGCTTTGGGCCCACCACTCTTGCTCTGAGAGAAGGATAAGGAAGATGCACGTCCTGACCCTTCAGCATCCGACTTTCCCACGAAGGTGGCAAGCGGTGCAAAGGATGCAAAGAAGCCAGAGCTAGAGCCAGGCTTCTCTGTAGAAGTTGTGGTGGTGGAAGACTGCGAAGCTGGACCGCGTCGGTCAATCACTCGAGTGCTCAGGCTCCTAAATCGGCTTTTCGGCGCTGCAGTAGTCTGAACGTCCACCACAGCAGCAGCAGCAGCAGGAGGAGTTTGCTTGGCCGTATCTCGGATTGAGTCAACGCTAGAGATGCGGGAATGTCGCTTGTTGACTTTCAATTTATCATCGGCGTAACTAGGTTGCCGAGAATGGGTTGCACTTCCAGTCACGGAGGTGCGTTTCTGCAACAATCTCCGGTTCTTCGTGGTATCTCCCTCGGGACCAGAGAAGTATCCCCGTTCTAGCTCATCATACCGATCGGTCACGGAGACTGCAGAGTCAGACTCGTTGGTATCCGGACGCCGGAAAGCGTGTTGGGGAAGCACTCCTTCGTGATATACGGGGTAAGTGCCTGAGCGAGATGGCACCCGCTGTGATCCGCTGGCCATAGTCCAGTTTCTGTCAAATGATGACTGCTTAAAATGACCAGCGTGAGGCGATGTATCAACGCGGTGACCTGTGTCTATGGAAGAATGACGACGGTGGTGATTGATCTCCCGGATGGACGCTGCTGAAGGTCTTCTTTGATGATCCATGAAGTTGGGAGTCTGGGGAGTCATAGGAGAACTTGTGGTACTCGATATCCCGCTACTCACAAGCCGTGGGTGCTGCATGGAGCCGGCCGAGCCCCTTGTAAGGTGAGGGATGCGGGGAAGAAAAGGGCCAGTGTGGCTGGCACGGCTAAGAGATCTTTCTTCCGACGGCGCAGGATAGCTGGAGGCAGAGCCCCGTTGCTGCTGCTGTTGTTTGAGACCCTTGACCTCCTCTTGGAAAGCCTTGACTTTGTGCCACGTCTTCAACCGACGACCCATGACGCCGAAGTCAAACT